CTAGTTTATATATTAAAAAGCGGTTATCTCCCTATTCCATTCATAGGGAAGGCCTGTGCCCTAGCAGTGGGGACATTAATAGGCTGCTGATGATGATATTTGTAATAATTACTTATTCTGTAGTGTTAAACCTATTATTATGTACCATTTTTTTTCAGAAGTCCCAATCAGCTGCACCCACACAATTATCTCCACCTATCATCCAAGATAATCCAATCTATTTGGAAATTGTAAATGGTACGTCTTTTCTATTTATTTTATAATAAATGTTAATGTAATTATGCAAATTCAATTCTATGATATTAATGAATGTCCTGGATTCTCTAAATTTACTAGGCAACCTCAGTTTCATGATTTCTTAGATTAAATTAGAAATCCTTCCTTCCTTATCATTTTAAATGAAAGGAGGAATTTGTTTCTTTGAGCACTTTAATTCAGACCTTTGAACTATCCTATTATATTTTTTATTTTTTAAGCATTTAACTGCTTGATGTTAAAGAAAATATAACTACCTGTCTGTCTGACTAGTGCCTGGTCCGCGTGGATTTTTTATAGATATATTTTATTAAGATTTAAATACAAATTTTGGTTATATGTATGTATATTTTTTAGGCATTTACCTGGTAGATGTTTAACTCTAAAGAAAATAATACTAGAAAAAAATCCACGCGTAATTCCTGCTGCCTGGCCTGCTTTTTTCTAGTATTTTTTTTTTATATTTATACACTAATTTTGTTTTTCTAGAAACGCCGGATCTGCCTACATCACCACAACCTTCCACTTCATCCCAGTCCGAAGCACCATCCCGCCCTCGCGTACTTGCTGCACCTTCCTCACAGGGAGGCTTCTCAGGGCGGCCTCCGCCATCCCCGCCAGTCACACCCGCCCCACTACTCCTCCGAGGCGGAGGCGGCCACCTGCCCCCGGCGCATCTGCTACTCTCCCGACTGCCGGGCGTCGTCCGCGGATGAGATCGCCGGCGACATCGCAGTCTACTGCTTCTCCCGGCCGCCCGCGTTTGCGCGCCCGCCGTAGACTAGCCCCGACTCCCTTTGAGAGAGCGGCGAGCGAGTTTGCGGCCATCGAGTTACGACGCCTGGAGCTGGAGGACACCCGGACCAGGCTCCAGCACGAGCGGGACTTGCGAGCGTTGGAGGTTGAATACGACCGGAACCAGAACCGCTGAACACTGAATAGTTCTCAATATCAATGTTATGCGGTTCTGTTGTCCTTGTGATAGAAGGCAAACCACAAAACACACAAGCGTGAAGCTTGTAAGGCCCTTCAGGCCATAAGCATGTACTACGGGTATGTTTTAGTCAGTAGGAGTCTGAAATAACCTTGCAGCCGGCTGTAGGGTATCCATGAGGATTTCACACTCGCTCCCCCGCCTGGGAGGAACCAAAAAAAAAACGCGCCGTAGTTATATTTTTGTTTTACTGTACCACTTCCTACTAATATTATAAACGCAAAGTTGGTATGGATGTATGTGTCGATGTTTGTTTATGTTAATAAAAACACTATATTAGTTAACAGTAATTTTATTTATACATTTACATCCTTCTCTCTCTTTATTTCAGTTTCTTACAAAATTAATATAATGTATTTTTTTTTCTTTTAAGAAACAACATCGAGGTTATTACATTAATTTTACTGTCACAGTCGAAGATGCATGAATTGACAATCTAAATTCAGTTTTTTGAACCACAGCATAAACACATCTATAGGAAATAAGTTATATTTCTAGAAGCTATATCAAAAGCGCTGAATAAATAATATTTTTATGACTAAAAACAGCACATAAAGATCATTTAAATATTTATAATTTTTATTTTTAAGCATGTAACTGCTTGATGTTTAAATCTAAAGAAAATATAGGCGCTACCTTGCAGCTTAAGAATGGCTAGAAGAATTTCGACGCGGCCATCAGGGCCATGGTAGCATAATTGGTCAGTGCATTCGCCCGGATTGCGAAGGATGCTGGTTCGAGTCCCGTCTGCTGCATTGTCCGCGTGGAATTTTTTCTAGTTATATTTTCTTAAGATTTAATAATTTAAATAATTAACTATTTTTATATTTAAACAATTACATTATGTAGTCCGGTCAATTTAGACATTCGAAGCTACCTAGCTAGCTTGGTGGGAATTCAGGTAGCTTTACTCTTATCTTTTGGTCTAATTTGACCGGACTAATTGTTTGGAATGTTCTTAAAACAAATAACTATAAGAAATATTAAAAACTCTTATACATAATTGTTTCTAACTTTAATAGAAGAATTATATACGAAAAAAATATCAAATGCTAATAGGACAATCCAGATGATGTATGTAAATAATAAATATGATATCAGAGAGGTTTCCACGGATACAACTACATCCTACTTATTAAGCAACTACCCATAGCCCTGCCTCGGATTAACTCATTTTCATTATCATTGATGGAGATGCTTTGTAGCATAGAAGGTTCTTCACCAGCTTCTAGACCTCCGATTGGTGCATCACTTGGCGGTGGTATTCTAGCATCTAATGCAATGTTATGCAGCACACAACATGCATTAGTGATTTTGCTAGCCATGTTAGGGTGATAGTGAAGAACTCTATCTCAAAGCATACACCTCCAACGAGCCTTGAGTAATCCAAAACAGGGTTCAATACGAGACCTGGCTTGGACATGACGTCGTGTGTAACTGTCTTCCTGGGATCCTGGTTCAGCATTTAATACAGGCGTCATTAACCAGGGCCTCTGTGGATACCCAGAATCTCCTGAAAAATAAATAATTTCCAGATTATGTATATTTATATTGTATCTTTAAATGAATTTATGTGTATATAATTTTTACCACGGGTTAAGGCAGAGAATAATTCAGTATTAAATCCACCTTTTGAGTTGTTTTTAAAGGTCAGGAAAGTTTTATGCATAAATAAACAATGTATTACCTAATAACCAAACATGTTCACCATTTTCATGAAGCCCATGCATGTATGTCTCCACGTGGCTTGCAGACCATATGTGGGATTCATGTGTAGCTCCACCAAATTTGGAGTTAATATTTATTATTTTTAAATCATAATCACATATCTGGTATGAAAAACAAATAAAAATAAGAGAATTAGGTCCACTTTAAAATACTTAATCTGATATAATATTTTTCTTCACATTATAAAATAAGCCAAATATTATTTTATTAATAAGTGAAAAATAGAAATAAATAATATAATAATAATAGAAAAATAGGTTAAAGGGAAACTATAAACAACATTAATTCAAGTTTCATTCTTTCTTATATAAATGATTAGAGATTATCTAGCTGCTTACCATTTGCACATTTAAGGAATGATATCCTTTTCTATTAGAAAATATGTGTTCTTCCTCGCTTGGTTTGGTTATAGCAATATGGGTACAGTCAATGTTTCCTTTGAAATCTGTAAATAAGGTACGTATTTACCAATTTTACAACAAAAGTTAGCTTTAGGAAAGTTATAAATTATTTAACCTATTTAAATAAAAATATGTTTGTACTTCTCTTTGATAAGTGATCTCTCGTGTGGTGTTTGTGGAAACACTATCCACCTGTTGATTGTCCAATTGTGATTAAGGGCGTTCACAACCTCTCTGATGCAACGACTTGTAGTTCGTTGTGTCAAATACTGACCCACACCCACAATCCTTTGGTATGACCCTGTAGCTAAAAAGCTAAGAGTACACAGCACCTGGAAATAGAATAGTGCATTGTGATTTATTTTAAATTAGTACTTACGAGGTTTTATTTTAATTTAGGTACAGCAGTTAAAAACTACATTATACCATCAAATATACTATCAAATGTTTGTACGAAGTTAAGAAAATCAAGATGCTTTGAAGATAGGTTATAAAGTGCAATGACTTATTTTTCAAGTACAATTTAATTAAATAAGTTAATGTGAAATTTCTTACCTTTATCTCCAGAGGAATTTCAGAGGAACCACTTAATCTAGCATGACCTTTTAGGTCGTCACATAACCGCCTAAATGTGATATTATAAACCCTGAAATGTTGGATAAACAACAACTCAGGCATATCTTCAATTTTTTCTAATTAAAGTCTCAATCTTAAACGCATTTGGCGTCTCTTCCAGATGGTTTCATTATGTGCTGCCCACAGTAAATGTAGTGAATGCATTTTAAATACTTTGATTTACGATTATTTGATACAACATAAACAAAATCACAGCTGATGAACAAAGTCGGCCATGTTGTTGTGTTATCTACAGCGTCTTAGCATTCGTTTCGTTAACGATTTCGAAGATCGCGATCGCAGCGAAGACGAACGTCAAAAGTGCAGCTTGTCTACGCATTTGTATGGGATTAAGCGTTCAAACAATTCATTATTTTAACGTTTCGTTACGAATTGTAACTTTGTCTACCAACTTTCGATGACGATGACGATTGACCACGTGATTTAGCGAGGCTTATGTCAGTTTCATACATTTTATTAATTTCGAACTTCGTTATCGTTTTTAAATTGTTACTTTGTCTAAGCCCCTAATTAAAAAGCTGCAGAGTTTGTTTGTTTGTTTGAACGCGCTAATCTCTGGAACTACTGGTCCGATTTGAATGATTCTTTCAGTGTTGGGTATTCCATTTATCGAGGAAGGCTATAGGCTATATTTTTTTCTTTCAAAATTAGGGATCCGTAATAAAATAGCTATTTTTAACACAAGGTGTAAAATCGAAAACCTATTTTTGCGTGCGCTGCAAAAACTATTGACAATAGAACAAAATGATGTACTACGGGTTTGTAGGTCCTATTAAGACCTACAAAAAAGTGCGCGAGAACATAATATATCTAGCTATCATGGTTTAATCACAATAACCGATTTTGTGTTCAAAATAATTATTACATCGTCTGAAGAAAAAAAACTACATTAAATATGTATCGTAATATTAATATTTATCGAAATTAAGTTATCAAAAGTATTTATGTAGAAGTAAAATACTTTTTGTTTCATCTCAATCGGATATTTCGTTTAAAAGTTATCACGTGTGTAAGATGTTAAGAGTTGGTACCTATTAATGAGTTATGGGCCATAGAGTTTTTTATTAACATAAAATCCTTTAATAATCTTTTTCGAAATATATTTGTTGATGATTGTAAGTATAAGACCTTTGAAGAGTATAATAAATACATTTCTAAAATAACTCTGCTAAGGAAATCCACGCGCGCTTGCTTGCATATTTTATCTCAGTATTTCCACGGAAACGAGAAAAACGCGGGTGAAACCGCGGGGCACGGCTATAATATATATTTTGGCAGGCGTTCGGTGAAAAATGAAACATACCGTATCATAAAAATATATCAAAATATATATTAATATATCAAAATATATATTAATATATCAAAATATATATTAATATACCAAAATATACACTAATATGCCAAAATATATCTGTCGACATATTTTGGTGACGTCATAGAAATATATATTATAGCTGCGTGTGCGGTCACTCGAATATTTATATTGAAAATATGTTGTAATATGTCTTGCTATGATTCATATTAATATATATTATAGCTACGTCTGTGACGGGCTTAATAGGCTGTTAATGACGATGATGAATGCATTTTATGGTACCATACTAACATCGTTGTATGGTACGATATTAACATCGTTGTATGGTAATGAAAATAATTAACAACCTAAGTGCGTTAGCAACTTTATTGTGTTTAATATGATTAATACAAATAAGCTGTAAATTACAATACAAATTAATCTTTGCTTAAATCATCGCTAATATATTGTTTTACTACTTCAACAAAGTTTTCATCCACACTGAATCCCATGTTTAGCGCACGGGTGTTATCAATATTGGTTGGAAATGTCGACACAATACGATTGATAGTTTCGTCTTTGACAAAACTCACTAAAGCTGCCACTTTCTCACCAGCAACTTCTTTCAATGCTTGAATCATTTCGTCTACCGAAGCTGCAAATCCAGGCAAGTTGACGACACGCCAGGATCCAAACGATGTGGCTGGGATTGTAGCTGCATAAATTATATTATTTACAACAATTTTAGGACTTGTTAGCCACAACTTCAAATTTTTGTTAACAGGGCATATAGCTTCTAATCCATTGAGTGGCTCTCGTATAATGCCACTAGCGAAAGAAGTAACAGCTTTATTCGCAGTTCCAGCCCTGACACTGACAGTGGGCAACCTCAATATACAGCCATCAACAAATCCTTTTCTTGAATAATCGTTAATCAAGAGCTCACACATGGCTTTTGTTGTTCCGTAAGTGTTTTCCGGTGTCACTGCTGTTAAATCATCAACTGTTTTAGGAAGCTCACCTCCGTACACGCCAAGAGTGCTGCTAAAAATGAATTTGAGACTAGGTTTGACTTTGCGAGCCGTCTCGAGAAGATTTCTTGTGGCGTCGAAATTAACTCTGAAACCAAGATCAAAGTCTGCCTCAGCATGACCGCTGACAATAGCAGCCAGATGAAAGATCACATCACAATTTTTATCAATAATATTTTCGGCAGCACCAGGCCTGGTAAGATCTATTGCTAGGACTTTAACTCTTGGGTCCACTCTAGTTGCAGGCTTGATATTATCTACTAACATTAATTCTCTTACTGGAAGTGGTGATGTATTACTAAGGAGTACATCAGCCACTCTTGAACCCAGAAATCCTGCCGCTCCAGTGACGACTATCTTCATGGTATTTAATTAAATAATCAAATTACGAACTATAAAGGCTGATGATGTATAGTAACATGCATCAGCTAGACCTCTCTAAATAAAATAAGCTTAATAAAAATAGTAAAATAAGATAATATTCAGGATGGGTATGTAAGTTACTTTGTTTATATTAAATATTATCTCACAGCGATAACATTACCTACCTACCTAATTTGTTTATACAACTGCTATGTATGATAATGGTTTTGTTATCATCAACGAAAATCATCTAGTCTCAAATTGAGACTCTCAATACTTTTTTGACGTGACAACGTCTTAAATTAGGTTGCGGCTGGGAGTCACTTAAGAAAAAGTGTAACGCTCGGTAACGTTACGATGAGTCTCTCGTGTTAAGTTTAAGTTTACATGTACAATGTTTTAGTAAACAAAATATATTTCTATAGTTAAAATTTGTGCAATTCTTATTTTCATTCAATTCCTTGTTCCTATTGTGCAATTTAATTATATTCATATCAATAAATATTCTACCGAGAAAAAGACGTTGTCACGTAAAATCTTCGCCCGTAAAACCGACTTTACAGGCAACCATTTTTTTTATGTGTTAGTCAATATAGCATGTTTTATATAACACAATACATTATGTTTTTATTTTTTAAGCATTTAACTGCTAGATATTAAAATCTAAAGAAAAGTTTACTAATAGGCAGCAGATGGGACTCGAACCCGCACCGTCCGCCATTCCGATCCGATTATTATTATTATTAGTGTCCCTGCAGACGGGCCACCGACCACAACCACAAAACGCCGCCACCGGAATATTTCTTGAAGTTTTCATACATTTTATATGGACTCATTTCATACATACAAATTGTCATTGCTCACTTCTTGTGGCCCGCACCGGCCACTTAATGCGCCGATACAAAACGCCGCCACACGTCACTCGCGCGATTCCCCACCCCTCTGTCCCTTACATTATTATATTAGTCGGCCGCTGTCGCACGCTTCAGCAACTTTAGTAGCCGCTTCTAGCTTCTCGTGGCGGCGTTTTACAAATCGTCGTTGCTCGCTTCTTGTGGCCCGCACCGGCCACTTAATGCGCCGATACAAAACGCCGCCACACGTCACTCGCGCGATTCCCCACCCCTCGGTCCCTTACATTATTACATTAGTCGGCCGCTGTCGCGCGCTTCAGCAACTTTAGTAGCCGCTTCTAGCTTCTAGTGGCGGCGTTTTACAAATCGTCGTTGCTCGCTTCTTGTGGCCCGCACCGGCCACTTAATGCGCCGATACAAAACGCCGCCACACGTCACTCGCGCGATTCCCCACCCCTCTGTCCCTTACATTAGTCGACCGCTGTCGCGCGCTTCAGCAACTTTAGTAGCCGCTTCTAGCTTCTCGTGGCGGTGTTTTACAAATCGTCGTTGCTCGCTTCTTGTGGCCCGCACCGGCCACTTAATGCGTCGATATAAAACGCCGCCACACGTCACTCGCGCGATTCCCCACCCGTTATTCCCTTACAATAGTCGACCGCTGTCGCGCGCTTCAGCCACTTTAGTAGCCGCTTCTAGCTTCTCGTGGCGGCTTTTGTGGATGTGGCGTGTGGCCCGTGTGCGGTGACACTTATGCTACCTCCTCTTGAACAGATCTTCCTCTAGTATTTCTTAGGCTGCAAGGCAGCGCCATCTCTTCGCATTGCATAAAACCCACAACGTCAAACGAATACCTTTACAAGTAATCAGCATTTGAAAGAAGAAACAGCAATTGTAGTTATATTTTAATTTCTTAAACATTTAACTGCTAGACGTTTTAATCTATCGAAAATTTTACGAGATAAAATTCTACGCGGACCAGGCAGCAGGTAGGACTCGAACCCGCACCCTCCGCTATCCGGGTGTATGCACTGAACACTATGCTCCCGCGGCGCTAATGGCCGTGTCGAATTTCCTCTAATACTTCTTAGGCTGCAAGGCAGCGCCATCTCTTCCAGGTATCCTGCAGGAACGCCCGGCGACTCCCAATCCGGGGACCCGTCATGTTCAATCAGCGCAGGGTAGATCGGGAAGTTGTTTTACTTGATAGGTATGACCTCAGTTGCGGCACCAGGTGGTTAGCCGATTGGCAGCTGGTTAGTTGCTTAAACTTGCATGAGCGAATGCCCCTTTTACGACTGCGGTCTGCAGCGCTACGTAGCAGGGCTACACCCTGCTTTCCAGCGTCCGAATACAGCACGCCGGATCATGAGTGCTCGGGCGTATGACGTGGCGGGCGCAAAGCATTTTTTCTCCCCGTCATCGAAAAAAAAAGTACCCTGCAGGATACCTGGACCGAGGACAATTTATTGTAGTAAAATTTATTTTATTTATTTAAACTTTATTGCATAATAACAAAGCAAATGGCGGACATAATGCCGTAAGGGCGTGAGAAAAAAAAACTAATATGACGGGGGCGCAATAAAGACAAATATAAGTTAAACCAAGGATGCAAATACTTAACAGAATACACAAATAATATTTTCTTTAGATTTATTAATATATTTTATAGGTGCGATGTTAGTCGTGTGACTTGACCAATAAGTATAGGCCGCAGCAGGGGGGACGAGTTCCAATAAGCATCTGTATTACAAATAATAATAACTTAATTTGGACGAGTTCATTGAACATTGAAACGTTAAATCTGCTTTAGTTTTACAAAACTGTGTTGCAGAATTAAAACGCCCATTCCCAATTAATGTGAACAGTGTTCCTATCAATGAATTAATAAAAAAACTGTATTTTACTAGAAAGGAAAGTAATATGAGATAAAAATATTTACAACTCACAATCCATCCCCTACGTAACTTGAAAAACAAAAAAGTATTTCTGAGTGCATTTCTGTCAACATTATAACTAAATAATACTGTATTTTACCAAAAAATTAAAATAAGGATAAAAATAAAACATTTCATTATTATGCTCACATCAGATGGTAGATAAACACAGATAATACAAATCTATTAAAATTACAATATTAAACTTCTCAGGACACTACAACCAATCTAGAATAGTTCCAGTGGCGGACTAATAGGGGGGCGGAAGGGGCGGCCCGCCCCGTGCCTCCGATGGGGGGGGGGGGGGGGCAAACGCCTCCGCGTTACCCTGATCAAATCCTAAACAAGACTTTAAAAATGTGCTTAGTACCTACATAATTTCATCAAGATCAAAACACTATAGCGTGACTATAGTTATCTAGACTTTTTACGAGGTACTAATATTTTATTAACTTTGCTGAACGCGTCCAATACCCTGGGGGAATTCCCGTCTTTGTAGCGGGTACTTCCTCACGAATCCCTGAATGAATGAAGTGTGAATTTTACATTCACTACATTATACTTAAGTCTAACAATTTTTGCGGTCTCCAAAAATGGATCTGGATACAGGAATCACCAAACTAAACGCCTTGAATAAGTATTTAGGTGGTTCATCAACATCAAGAAACCAGGAAAAGTGAAGGTAAAATGAACGATGTCGGGTGAATCAGCTCATGATGCTGGATTATCAATTCAAGAAAAAATACGTCGGTCAATGTATGAATGCATAGACCGCTTTATACAAGAATTTTCGAATTGGGCTATTAAACAAATCAAAAACATTTTTCAAATTAATGAAACAAAGTTTATGCTAGAAGCTTCAGATGACGCTCTGGCTGTAGCAGTTGACAATCTGATGCAAAGTTATGGTGAATTTGACAAAACTGGTTTTAACGAAATAAACATAAGAATCTACATTTTTTTTAAAGCTGGGTGGGGGCCTCATTCTGCTTTGCCACCCCGGAACTCTGACGGGCTTAGTCAGCCACTGAATAGTTCAATCCAATCCAAGACACAATTTTGCACACATCGTACCAAAGGCCAGCAGGAAACGGCCTTAACATACAATAATATTATACATACGAGTTTTTTTTTCTCGGCCCACAATGATAGTTAATATACTCCTCCAAAAAGGTTTGACCGATTTTTATGAAAGGACAATGGGCAAAACACACACAGCTCCGCCAACAATCTAATTACTATCAATCGATAGATCTATGAAAAACTAGCCTTTTTTATTACGACACCGTAAAAAAATATCCCGATAGTCAAAAGATATGACAAATGACACCGTAAAAAATATCCTGGTAGTCAAAAGATATGGTACATGTTTAAGTAGCTAAATTAATTAATTTAATAGTACCTTCATTTTACATTATAAGTAACCATAATAATATGCTATATCGTACTATACAACCAGATATACCACAAAACCCGCCGACCATCCTGCGCTTACACTTACTGAGCCACCACAAAACGGCTTACGGGGGTTGCAGTTGCAAATAGTCGACTCGTCTTACTTCGTTGTGATTTTGCGCTCCCTGTCACTTGAATAATTTTTACCTAACACGCTTTGGACACTGGAATACGATTATCGGTTTTGTCAATTGGTATGGATGAACTGGAGTCATGTTTTCTCCGAAGCGTGGACAAGTTTGTGTTATTTTGATCGCTCCGTTTTACATAGAAGACAATTTATAACGAACAGACTGTTTGAAAAAACCCCAACCCATGCGGGGATTTATGGATTTACTTGAGCGCGGCAGAATAACATAAGGGGGCTTGGAAGTACTCCCATAATACCTGAGCCCTCTATGTATGGGCGAACTAACTAAATTAATTTTGTTTCATTAATGTTCGTTCGTTATAGTACTTGTACCTATTTAACTTAAAATAACTAAAGACCCCCGGGATGGAATTTCATTCGCTAATGACAAATGTAGTTTAAGCCGTGGCGGACGTGGGTGCAGCGTTCATACATTTTTGCCCAATGTCCTTTTAAATGCATATTCAGTAGGTCTGAGAATCGGCTACTATCTATTTTTCATACCCCTAAGCGATAAGGATTGTTCACCTTTAACATTTTTTTTTGAACTTTTTTTTTTATTATATTCCATTAATACATTCAACCCAAAATTTTCACCTCTCTGCCACCAGCTCCTATTTTTATGGCGGTACGAAGTTCGCTGGGTCAGCTAGTAAAAAATATAAAGGACAATGTTAAATTTGGACTAAGAACCAACCAATTTTTAGTATATTTTTTGCAATAATTATCAGTATTTAGATTGTGACGGACACTTCCAGTTAAGTAAGCTATATTAAAAAGTTGAAAAATAATCTGAGACTACCATTTTATGTGTATAATCTATTCTATGGCAGCGCTGCAAACAAAACACTCTTTCTTCCTAATGCCGGAACTTCACTTGGCTATTCGTGTTTGCTTTTTGAAAACTTGACATCAGTCTGTCCTTTTTATTCCATATTAAGCATGACAATGGTAGTTTTCCAATTACACAGTGGCGCACAATGCCGAATTATGCTGATGCTTAATTGGAACGTGAATTAGTTTTCAAATGCAACAGCAGAGTGCGCTAAGATAGGCATTATGCCGCATAATGCGCTGTAGTAATTGGAAAACTACCAATGACAGACTGTTGTCAAGTGAAGGGCCGGCATAAAACTCGATACTCTGTGGTTGTGGTGCAGGCAGTTTGCATTCGTAGTAATCTGTGGCATTCGTGAATTCTCGTTTCGGATTTCCTGTTGTGTGTGTTGTTATTTGCGATTTGTTTTTCCTTTAATTTAACTATTTTGGCTATCTAATATGTCATCGATGTTACCAAATAGCAGACCCCTTATTACCAAGTGCAAGAGAACCTGTGCCACAACCTCCTGAGAGGATCATACTGCCAAATTATTCAAGAGCAGCTGATACACATTCACGCTGCATATTTATACAATATACATGTGATGTATAAATAAAATACAATATGATACAATTATGTGAAAAATAGTCAAAAAATTAGAAGCAAAACTACAGTTTTTATTTTATTCATGATTCCTACCTTACCAAGTTTCCTAATAGATAGTCTTTAAAATCGCATCGAATAAAAATGAATTACTTGTAATGTTAATTCAATTCATACTAAGTTCATAATGTTGACCTATGTTTAATTTAATATTAAACATAACCTCAAAAAATATTAAGTTTTCCTGATAATTTAAGTTCTCAGAAGTGTTCGTCAATAATCTTTGTTTTTATAGTCATTTATTTGCAATTTCGAACCTACAAAATAATATTTCATGATTGTTGGATCTTAGGCTAGCAATGTATGGACGCAGAACAATGTCCTTTTCAGCCATTCTGCATTAAATATTACTAAGTACAATATTTATACATTGCAAGGGCAGTCGCTCATACAAAATTTTACCATGTCCCTAGGTTCACATACAGTTTATTACTACAATATTAATATATACAATTAACCCGGAAAAGTGTCAAGTTGCCAAAGGAATTTTCAAAAAATTTAAGTTAACGCGGATGAAGTCGCTGCTAGTTGTTTAATCACACTAATATTTTAAAGGCGAAAGTGTGTGAATGCGTATGTTTGTCACTTCTTCGCGTCTAAAAGGCTTGACGAATTTATGAATAATGAAATTTGACACATAATATAGGTTATTACCTGAATTAAGACAAAATAGGATACTTTTTATCCCCACAAATAAATTTAGGTTCCTGAGGAATATCGAAAAAACTTAAGTTAACTCGAATGAGTTCGCGGGCGGCCGCTAGTATTACATAAACCTATGATTTTATTTGTAAAAATAACAAATATTCATATTTCTTCAAATATATTATTGTTTACTATATATTTTAATAATATGAGCTTTTTGGTAAGAAGAAAATATACAGTCATCAACACCAATAAATATACAAAAAAATATCACATTGAAACCTTGACATTCGTATAACTGGTTATAAAGATGAAATAGGCTCGAGGAGAAATAGGAGGAGAATTACCGATACATTTAAAACAATATAAGTTTTATTCACCATAGGGGATTGCTAATAGAACATATTCCTTTTAATAGTTATTACTATTGGTAACTTTGTCTGCGGAGGAAAATTGGTTTCCCATACAGACAAACTTCCACCCCTTTTTACTCTCTTATATTATGATTTCTGGGATGAAAAGTATTATATGTCCTTCCCGGATGAAATTTGGCATTTTCATGTAAATCGATTTAGCTGTTTAAGCATGAAAAGGTAATGGACAAACGGACAGCAAAAGCTGAAAACATTTTAAAATGCAAAATAAACATTCGCAAATTGCACACAAAAAAACGTTTGAGTATGAACTTTGGTATTCAGTTGTATTATATTCATGGATGCACCTACATAAAATCATCTTTGAGCGGAGATAAATATTAATTAGGAGAAACAAGTTTTGAATCGCTAGATTTACATATTTCAAAACTACACCGCAGTCTTTATATCTCCGTGTGTAGTTAGTATACCAACATATACACATTCTTTCTGCTGATTTAGTGAAAATATGAAATATAGTTAAAATGAAGGATAAAATGGAAGTTGAAACGAAAATTAGTGTTTCTAAAGTGAATGGCGATATGGACGATAAAAATGTAAAAGTGTCACCCAAGGAATCATTTTCATTATGGAAACTAATAAAAAAAATCTTAACTTTCTTTACAGTAGAACCGTATTTACTGTGCTATATCTTCTCATCTACATTATGTAACAAAGCATTGCAGGATTACCATAGGGATAAAGTTTTTCAGATCAAATTGGACTATATACTTTCCAATCCAGTGGATGAGGAGACGAGCTTTAATATCACGTTTGAAGCTTTAGATGATATGAATAAACGTGTGACTGATATGTATGCATGGCTGGGTCCTCTTAATATTGGATTACAAGCTATATTTATATTATCAGTTGGTGCCTGGAGTGACAGAACCGGAAACAGAAAGGCGTTATTACTCATACCGATAATTGGACAAGTCATGTCAGTAATCGGCTTGATGATAGGAAATTATTATTACTATGAAATCCCATTCTGGGTTATGGATTTGTTTGAACAGATGCCTTCTATTTTTGCGGGAGGTATACCAGCCGCTATCGTGGGATCACTCAGTTTTATTGCTGATGTCACTACTCCGGAAGAACGTACATTCAGGATCGGTGTTGTTATGGTGATAGTAGACCTTGGACTGCTTATGGATTTACGAATTAGTGCAATCTTGACAAAAGCGGTCTCATACTATGAAATATTTGGTATAGCAATCCTAATGTACTTAGTTGGACTTATTTATGCAATATTCCGTATTCATGACGTGAGAAGAACCAAAGTCGAAAGAAAATTTTACAAGAAATTAACACAATTTTTCCATCCCAAAAATATTTGGGATACGATTTCTTTGATATTTCTCACCCGCGGTAGGATGTTGGCACAAATAATTCTTGTTATTGGAGCTGCTATAGTTTTACAGGTAGCATTGTATGGTAAGTATGAATTTTACTCATCGAAAATAATTTGATAGTTATGGTCGTCTTAACTATGGTTTAAGTTTCTGAGAATATTAATAACAGAACACTGATAAAACAGAAAAAGCAGATTTCTCGAAAATAAAAAAATATAATAAATGATTTCACCGGTTTAATAAAAAGGTGAAAACCTGACCTACGTTATTTTAATAATAATATTTTAATAAAATTTGTTTTATATTTCTTTAACTATACTACAAAAGCGAAATGGCTCTGGGTTCCGCGTTCGAATCCGGGTAAAGCGGAGCATGTAAGGTGCAGCACGATAGTAAAAACTGTTATTATTATTCTCACAGTAAATACCTCAACAATGCTAGACTTGGCTTTGAATGGGCTGAAAAGTTTTTTAAAAACCAAAGTAATGGATTGCTAGTCCCTATAAATGTCCAATTAAGACATATCCATTTACACTTTCATTATCAGTAACATTGAATATGTTATTTATTACGCCTAAATTAGTGCTTAAACACTATGTTTGTTAATGTCCATTAATACCAGTTTTGTTTTGGAATAGGCTAGTTGACCCTTTTTGGAAAAAGGTTTTAAATGGTTAATAAATGTTCTATTAGACCGAAAAAAAATGTATTGTATTTTTTTGAGACCTAGAAAGCTACAAATCTTCAATTTTAAAATAGACTTTTCATGGACATACAAAAACGCTGTCGGCCATTTTAGTCTATAGATTATCTATGCTATGACGTCGACGGTAGTAAACAAAAACTCGTAAGCACGTAGAAAATAACCTATCTGAGTTTTTAATAAAAAAAACATGATTTCTAATAGATACCACGAAAAATATAGTAATTATCATTATTGTATTGTACGACAATGTAAAAACACATCCTTGAAGACTCCAGGAAAGTTGTGGATTAAAGTGCCGAAAGAAATTAACCTACGCAATACCTGGTTAGAACTTGCTAAAAGTGATCCTGCAACTTTATCGATTCATAGTAAAATTTATTTTTGCGAAGATTACTTTGATGTAAGTACTCATTGAATAATATTTTAAGTCTCTTCATTTATTATCTGTTTTAATAATACAAGTTTTAAAGTTATGTATGAATGACATTTAGTTGTTTACTAAAAGAGACGTCACAATCATGGCCGATATGGCGAACAGCGTTTTTAGTGTTTAAAAAGTATAGACTAAAAATTATTTTTTTAAATTAAATTTCTAGAGCAATCTTCTGCTTTTATGAAGTGAAATCGATATATTTAGGTTCCTTGGACCAAATACTTTAAGAAATAAACATTTATTTAATACAATTCGACATGAGTCAACTAGCCTATTGAATAAAATTGGTGACGGCATTGTTTCTAGGCATTCATGACTGCTTGTGACAGCATTTGCTGAATAAATGATTTTTAATTTCAATTAGGTGTACATAAATAAATAATAAATAAATAAATATTTCAGACACTCACACCAATTAGCCTAGCCCCAAAGTAAGCACTATAAGGCTTGTGTTATGGGATGCTATGGTAACGGACAGAATACATATACTGTACATATATAAGTATATTTATATAAATACATATTAAACATCCATGACTGGAGTACAAATGCTCGTATTCATCACACAAACATCTGCCCCCACCGGGATTCGAACCCGGGACCTCTCGAGTCGGTGACAGCCATGAAACCCGGCGTACAAACCACTCGGCCACGGAGGTCGCCAAAAGTAGTAAAAGTAAGTAGGTACTAAAACAAAAAAAATGTGTGTGTCAGCTCCGACGCACAACTGGAGTTTACTCCTTAAGTTCGATAGTCTAACCCAGTGGTTCTCAAACTTTTTAAATGACGGAACCCTTTTGGGAAGCAAAATACTTGATGGAACCCTACAATAAAACAATTATTTTTATAAGTGTATTCTATATTAATCAGCATAATAAAAGTACAATGTATCCGTTACTAATTATTATTTACTTCACCACTTGGTAAGGACAATAATAGAAAACATTAAAAAAGAAAAAATCTAACTAGTGGGAGGTATGAAACTGTTTTTTATTTTTCATCAATTGCTTGATATCAGGTTTGATGGAAGAAAGTTGGAGTCTCATATCAGCTTCGGCGTCCAGTCTATTGCGATATTTTGTTTTCGTGGCTGCGTAGGTAGAGAATCCTGTTTCGCACAAATATGTAGTTGGGAACGGGAGAAGAATATCCAGAGCCATTTGGCCAAGCATTGCATATTCATCTTGGATTCTGCACCAAAAATCATTAAGAGGCGTCGTTTTGAACAATGACTCCATACTTGTGTCTGATGACATTTCTAAAAGAGATTCATATATCTCATTTGACATGTTTTCAGGCTTTTCCAAGTTGGGTAAAAAAGGATTATGAATCCAGGAGTTCACTTTAATTTTTGTATTGTGTTCTTCGGGAAAATACTTTTCAAAAGATGCGCGCATCGAACTGAGATATTGGACCAATTCTTCAAACACATTATCTTCAAACATTTCTGAGTCGTTTTCGCTAACAAACTCAGTGAGTAACGTAAAACTTTCTATTTCTTTCTTACCAATGCAAATGATCCAAAAATCTAATTTTCTTTTAAAAGTAGTTATTTTATTATAGGCCTGAAACACTGTTGTCTGTTTACCTTGCAATGATAAATTTAATTCGTTAAGTTTTTGAAAGATATCCGCCATAAAAGACAATCGGAACAACCAAGTTTTATCATACAAACGGTCCTTCAAATTAAAAGAAGTATCTGCTGAAAGAAACATTTGTAACTCGGCTCTAAGTTCAAATAGCCTTGTTAAAGTTTTTCCCCGAGACAGCCATCGCACTTCTGTATGGAGCAGCAGTGTTTTATGTTTGCTGCCATAATCTTCACACAATAATGAGAACAATCGGGATTGTAGTGGTCGTGATTTGATAAAATTAATTATTTTTACCGCTTCATCCATAACTAATTTTAGATTAGACGGCATTTGCTTCATCGCAAGTGCTTGTCTATGCAGAATACAATGACTGGAACTACAATTAGGCGCTTTATTTTTCATTCGTGACACTGCTCCTGCTGTTTTACCTGTCATCGCCTTGGCCCCATCTGTACAAATGTCAATGCAATTGTTCCAACTGAGATTATGTTCTTCAAAAAATATATTTATTTTATTAAAAATTTCTTCCCCGGTAGTGTTTGTAAGCAGCGATGAACACATAAGCATGTCTTCTTCAAAAGAACTTTTATATGGATATCTCACAATAACCAGCAGGATAGCCAAACCAGCGACATCAGTCGACTCGTCCATTTGCAAAGCGAATCGTGTATTTTGTAGACGTGTAACTAGTTCTTGTTTGACGTAGCTTGCCAGATCATGGATTCGTCGTGAAACAGTATCGTTTGATAGCGGAACAGTAGAAAGATGCTTTGCAGATTTTTCATCAAGCATACATTTTGTTATGTCTAATACACATGGTTTTATTAATTTCTCAGCGATAGTGTGCGCTTCACCTGCTTGTGCAATGCGATAGCTAACTAAGTATGATGCCTCCGTGGCCTTTTCGTTGGTAGTTTGTGTTACATGCATCATATTTTTTTGACTTTCTAATAACTGATCTTTTTTGCGAACAAAAAATTCTTTATTCTTGTCTTTAGTCTCGGGGTGTACGGTTTCTAAATGTCGACGCAATTTGGCAGGTGCCATGGAACTATTAGGAAGCAGTTTACTACAGAGCATGCAGAGAGGTGAGCCGTTGGAATCAACAAATCCGAAACTGATATAAGATTCATCATACTTCCTTTTTTTCGTCTTTGAAACCGTCGAGCTTGACGTCGTGGCACTCGTGGCATCATCTTCTGGATCGGTGATTGCTAAATTCTCCGCGCGCATTGCTTTTGAACATTCAGCGTCATTAGAAGATGTTGTTGGAACACGTTTAACACCTTTAAGCCAACGTTCCATTCTTCTTTATTTATAATGTTACAAGTCAGGATAGTGGGGTTTAAATAATGCACAATCGTTACTGCGTATAAGAGACTAAATTTAGAACCTACAGGGAAGAAATGTATAAAACTGAGACAACAGAATACAGCAGGCAGTAAAACAATGAACACCAGTTTCTCGCTAGCGAGCTTGTAAGTAGGTAGTAACTTATCGCTCCGAACGCTAATCATCAACTGACGACGCCAACGCGCGATCGCCGCTTTTATACTTAGTCCTAGACTCGATCTCAAATATTCTCGAAAATACTCGAGTCGGCACCTTTGATAAACAAAAAGCAAAAATAAAAACAGAAATTTAAAAATAGCGTTGTAAACAATATCGACTTTATCCTTTGAAGTTAGAGACGAAAGTCGCTAGTTGACAACTATAGCGTCTAATTCAGAGGCGGCTTTTATCAAAGAGACTGAGCGCTTACAAGTATACTACCCGCTCGTTTTAAGTTTGCCGCTGGCGATAGGTATGAGTGTATGACGTTCGAAATTTTTTATTTAATTGTAACAATAAAAATTGTGTACGTTAGATATTTGGGTAAAACTATGACACATTATAAGTTTTGTTGTCACGTGGGGGAGGGTACGCGCATTCCACAGACCGGCAAACTTAGAGCGAACGCGTTGTACAAGTATAAAATTGTTGAGACCAAACTTATGAGATATTGTACCAGCTAATGTAACACAAGCTTATACAAATACAAATAAATAAATAAATAACATTCATAGCGTTTTGTCTCCGCGCGGCCGCGGAGTCCGCACAGCCGCGGAGCGACCAGAGAGAGGTGTTTTGATTTTTTTATTTCTAAATTCTTGCGGAACCCCGACAGAGGTATCACGGAACCCTAGGGTTCCGCGGAACACACTTAGAGTATAGCTGGTCTAACCAGACGCAAAAAGAGTTTATTTAACTTAAAAAAGATTGATACTGTATGAAAGGGTAAATTAATAAATTAATGAAAATAATAAACATATATAAATATATATTAATTTATTTCATATACATTTATTATA